AACTCAGGTCCTCCTGAATCCAGGGCCGGTGCTCTGTCCACTGCGCCACCTAGCTGCCCCAGGAAGGGCTTCTCTGAGAGACGAGATGAGGTGGGATTGTATGCCAGACAGGTTGGCAGATGAAAGGTTGGGAGGGTTGTGTGTGAGAAACAGCAAACGGTGTAGTTTGACTGGTCTTTGTCATATGGGAAAAGGATCACTGTCAAATCAGGTTCCAAAGATCAGTTGGGGCCAGACTGGAGAAAGTGTTTAAAAGATGGGAGTTTATATTTGATTCTAGAGGCAATAGGAAGCCATCTGAGTTGAATAGGAGAGTGGCGTGATCCCACCTGCATGTCAGGTGAACGATTTTTAAAACTTTTGTTTCACTTAAAATATTTTTCCCCCTCCCACTTCTTCCTCTCCCCCTCCCCACATTGGGGGAAAAAGAGAAAAAAAAAAAGAAATTCTTATAACAACTGTGCCGAGTCAAGCCAAACAAATTCCTGCATTGGACCTCCCCCAAAACGTGTGTTTCATCTGTACCCTGAGTCCATTGCTTCTCTGTCAGGCATCGTCCTCAGGCCTCTGCAGCTGTGGTCTGTCGTTACATTGGCCAGAATCCTTTAGTCTTTCAAAGTCGTTTGCCTTTGCAATGTTGTCCCTATTGGGCCTGGCACTTCGTGAAAGTCCTCCCAGGTTTCTCCCAAACTGTCCCTTTGGCCACTCCTTCTGGCACAGGAGACTTCATTACATTCACATCCCATAATGTGATCAGCCATTCCCAGCTGATGGGCACCCCCTTCACGTCTAGTTCTTTGCCACTACAAAAAGAGCTGCTATAAATAATTTTGTGCATGTGAGTCTTTTCCTCTTAACTCCTTGGGATGTATGCCCAGTAGAGGTGTTGGTTGTGTGTATGCACAGTTTAGTGACTTGGGGCATAGTTCCAAATAGTTTTCCACAATGACTGATAGGTAATCATTTAGGTACCTGTGTGGAGTGGGGGGCAGGGAGGCAGGGAAATTGGAAGCAGCCTCCAGTTAGGAGGCTGTTAGAATAGTTGAGGTGAGAGAGCCCACAACGCTGAGGAGAGCTGTGGTTATCAGCTAGAACAGGGATTCAGATGTATGGCCTCAGTTTCATTGGTATTAGCCTCGGATCCCCAGAGTGAACCTGACAGAACAGTGATTTGATGTCTAACTAGTAGTTTTGCTGTAACCCTTTCATTTCCTTTTTCCTTCTTTGGAAAGCTGGAAATAGGCAGGCTTAAATCAAGCCTCTGTCTCTTCTGTTCTAGAGATAACCCTGTGGGGAATGGAGGTGGGCCTGTTAACGATGCGCAAAGGCGAGTTGGCCCGATTTCTCTTCAAGCCTCGCTATGCCTACGGGGCTCTGGGCTGTCCACCTTTGATTCCACCCAATACCACGGTCCTGTTTGAATTGGAGCTCCTGGACTTCCTGGACTCTGCCGAGTCAGATGAATTCTTCGCCTTAACTGCTGTAAGTCCTTGAGAGCAGACTGGACATCTTTAGATGCGCTCTCTGGCCTCAGTATCCTGCATAGTGGCTTTTGTTTCTTCATGTTCGTCTGACCTTTCTGATTCTCCTTTCTCCCATTTCCATTTTGAAACCTTTGCTGGTGCTGAAGGCAACCTGTCAACTTAATGTATTTTGTGTTTTTGATAAATCAAATGAGATAGTGGATGTAAAAAGGGCTTCACAATGTATAGCGGTGGAAGTGATGGTGTTCACTAAGTGGGATAGATTCGTTTATTTAACAGTTTACCCCAGTTACTAACCTTGCTTCCCAAATTGTCTTTGTCAGACAGTGTGTATTTGTTTACCTCCGTGAAGTCGTTTTAAAAATGAGTGTAATTTTTGTAGCCATCTAATTATACCTTCTCTTATTTTAAATTCCCTCATCACCTATTTATCCTCTTTAAACAGAATTTGTGTTAGAAGGGACTTGGAAACCATTTAGGACAACTCTGCTTGGCCAAGGATTCCACCTGTGCCATCCCCTGCGAGGGATCACAGAGCATTCACCTGAAAACCTGTTTGGGTTCATCTTCCTGGGGGACAGTTAGGTGGGGCAGTGGATAGAGCACCGGCCCTGGATTTAGGAGGACCTGAGTTCAAATCCAGCCTCAGACACATAACACTTACTATCTGTGTGACCCTGGGTGAGTCATTTAACCCCATTGCCTAGCAAAAAAAAAATTCATCTTCCTCAATTTTAACCATTTTAGCTCATTGCCAACTTGCAAGGTCCTGACTCTCTCATCCGATGCATTGGCCATCATGGCTTTGTGTCATCTGACCAATTTGACAGTCTCGCCCTCTGTGCTTTCTCCAGTTCATTGAAAGAAACTTTGACCTGCACAGAGGCAAGGAAAGACCCCCTGGGCCAGTGTCTTAAAGATCCCTCCTCAAGGAGACATTGACTCTGGTTCTGGTCATTCATCCAGTTCCGTAGTCCACATCTTCTATCCTGTCTTCAAGGAAACCATGATGAATTTTGTCAAATACTTGACAGAAATCTAGGTCTTCTACTTGTATGGTATTCCACTAGTATGTAAGTATAACTATGTCAAGAAAAAGGAAACGAGGTTACTTTGGCATGACCCATTCTGAATGAAGCTACACTGACTCTTAAGGATCATGGATCGCCTTCCTAACTGTTGATAAGCTATTGCCTTCACATTGCATCCTGGAATAGCAAGATAAGCTCCCAATGGATGCATGGCATGGACTTCAAGGGTGGCAACATAAACATTGTGAACAAGTAAAGGAGCAGGACCTTTTGGATCTCTGAAGAGCACGTGACCAAAACAGATGATTTGATTATATAAAATTAAAAAGGTTTTGCACAAACAAAACCAAGGCTAAAATAAGACAATCAGGAACTGGGGGCGGGGAGGAATCTTGTTAACAACTTTTGCTGTTAAATATGTCATCCCTAAGATAGACTGAGAACCAATTACAATTATAAGAGTAAGAGCCATTCCCAAATTGACAAATGGTCAAAGGCTGTGAGCAAGCAGTTTTCTGAGGAAGAAAGCCAAGCTATCGATGGCCATATGAAAACTGCTCCAAGTCACTGATAACTAGGGAAATGTGATGAAAGCATCTCTGAAGATCCTCCTTCACACCTATGACAAAAAAGGCGACGACTGGACAGATGATGGTGTGAGAATACGAATGCATTACCGTTGTGCCATTGGAAATGATGAAGGGAATGCAAATGGAATCTTGCAAAGGCTCGTTTGAACGAATAGCGAAGTGAAGTGGCAGTTTGTAGAATAAAGCCTTCTAAACACACCTCGGAAAGTCTTCCGAACTCTTCTCGGTGCAGTGGCCAGCCACGATTCCAGAGAACTCATCTAGAAGCATGCTGTCCACTCCCTGAGGGTGGGGATACACTCAGGCTTCGGACTGACACGCATTTTTTTATTGTTCTTTTTTTAGACAGCCAATGCTGGAATTTGTTTGACTATGACTATTCGTTGCAAAGGCTTTGATGGGGAGGGGAAATCTATTTTTTTCCTTGATTGAAAAAAAATTATATTTTTAAAGATACAAAATACAAATTACATCTGGAGTTTTGCCAGGAATAAAGTCAAGTTCACTGATCTATAGTGTGCAGAATCCCCCCACTTCCTGTTTTTTATAAAATTGGGGTAGGCTTTGTCCTTTTTGAGACCTGAAACGTTTCTTCCGTGCTGGGCGTCCTTCACGGACCGTGGCTCAGCAGTCTCAGCTGAGACCCCAAATTATCCGAGCCACTTCTCTTCCTAAGACAGCTGACCCTCTTCTCTGCTCAAGGCTGTCTCCCACGTTGACTGGCGGACCAGCTTCCTCCTGGATGTGAGGTCTCCTACTGGGCAAGCAGGCCCACTGCCAAGTGGAGGGATCCCCTTCTTGCAGCTCTCCGGGGAGAGGCAAGGAGTGATTCCCTCTCACGGCCTAAGGTCTTTCTTCCCTGCTGCCGTGGGTCATACTCCTCAAGGCTGTCTCCCGTCCTGATTATTATAAAGGGACACCAGGGACAGCCAGTCCTTTGGAGTCAGTGGCAAGCTACCCTCTTCTGTTAGGCTTAACTAATGAACTTCCCCATACTTGGTTGTCTGTGTTATGTGCCCTCTTGGACTTCGTGATTTTCTGAAATGGGCCAAAGTAAGTAATGAGGGGGAGTCAGTTGACTGAGGCCTCTTCTGAACAACTCCCCTGACTAGGGACACCCGGGTATGAGGACGGAGATTAAGGTGGAAAGGAAGACAGTGAGACAGGAGGAAGAATGATCTGGGCTCCAGTAGATGATAGCCACCAGCATCTGGATAAATTGCTATTGAGGGACGCATGTGAGCATCCAGGGGGATGGCAGCAGAGAAGGGGGCTGGGAGTGATGATAAGGAGTGAGGAGCACGCCTGCCACTCCTCCTGGCTTGGTGCATCAGAACTGAGAGTAGAGAAGGAGGAGGGTGGTGTCCAGTACTGGTGAGAGGAGCCCAGTGTGGCGTCTTGGGGGGAGGGCTGCCCTCCATGGGTGCAGGTGGATGGAAAGGAGGCCAGAGGGAAGGGTCTGATAAGAAGAGCAGTTTAACAGCAGTGGGGGGTGGGCCTGAAGTGGATGCCGATTGGGGGGTGGAGCAGCCTGAGCCACAGGTGTTCAAAGAGGAGACGCCTGCAAGCCAGCTGTGGGACAGTGGATTTTCATATCCTTCCCAGTGAGTAAAGGTAGCCCCAGCTGGGGTATCAGGGTCTGAAGGTGAGACTTGGGCTCTGAACTCTTGCTGGTTACACAGGGCCCTGTGCAGTCGATTGACACATCTTCCCTTGGGTCACAAAGCAGACCTTGATCTGGCTTCCTTTTTCTGCCCCTGGGCAGGTCTGGGAACCTTACCAAATTCAGTGGTTCAGCCACGTGTGGCCAGACCGAGACATTTCAGAGCCTATCTCTGTGAACGACACTTGGTGCTGTAGGGGCTGAGCTCTTGAGCTTAGCGGGGTCACCCCAGAGGCCTTTGTTTTTGATCTCTCAGGAGCAGCAGGACATGTTCCCACTTGAGAAGGTGCTGAAGGTGGCTGGCACAGAGCGTGAATTTGGCAACTACCTCTTTCGCCAGAACCGCTTTCACGATGCCAAGGAGAGATACAAAAGGGTAAGAGATCCTGCGGGCAGGCTCCCCAGCCACCTCTTCTGTCCCTAAGGGAAGGGCATCACAATCTTGCCTTGAGTAAGTAGCGTAACACGCTGGCAAGTCTTTGTTGGTAGTGGGCTGGGTGTGGCAGTGGCTGCTGGGTGATTTGCATCTGCAGGCTGGATCCCTCTCTGGTTCCTCTGCCTCCCTTTTGTTAGCAGGTTGCTCATCTCATCACCTGGGACGCACACCCACACTCAGGTGAGCCAGGGCCAGAGAGCTGCGAGGACCCTCCACATCATGGCTTGCTTCTCAGCCTACGTGAGCAGTCTCTGTTCTAGTTTCTCTCTTTTGGCCAGTCCTCCTGACTTTGTCCATCACGTGTTGCTCTGTTCCTGCCTTGCTTTGTCAGATATTCCCATGGCTTTTTCTCCCGGGGCCCATATTCACATTTGTCTTTATTGTTAATTCACCTGAGTGTGTGGTATGTTGGAGAGGCGCTCCTTTTTTCTACCCATCAGATTAGCTGTTTGAGTAAAGTTATTGTGGAGCAGCGGTAGATTTATTCAGGGGCCACAGCGTGCTTGGGAATGGAGAGGACGACACCCTAACCCTAAGCTGACCTCCTGTGTCACGAGCCAGCCCCTTTGGCCTTTCCATCCTGTCCAAAGTTGTCACTCTCATGTCACACACCTGCACGTGGTCTCAGACTCTCACCCCCGATAGAAGGGCACAAATTAGAGATCACTCCAAGATTTCCTGCCTGGGAAGCTGGTGGTGTCCTTGAAGAAACTGGACATTGGGGAAAAAAATTTATTTTAGGGATGAAAAGTGTTCAAGGCCTGTCCCAGAGAGGAATGAACTGGCTTGGGGAGCAAGGGGGTCCCTCCTCACTGGAGATCTTCCAACAGGATGAACGACATTGTGTGGCTATGTCACTATGGGGATTCCCTGTGGGGTATGCGCGACTCAGTGGGCCCAGAGAGCTTTTCCTATTCGCTGAGTTTTGTTTTACATGTGAATATCTCGCCGCTGCCACCTGAAACTCAACTCTTCTCTCTTGTTGTTTAGTCTTTTTGCAGTCGTGTCCAAATCTTCATGGCCTGTTTGGGGTTTTCTGGGCAAAGGTACCGGAGTGGTTTGCCATTTTCTTCTCCAGCTCATTTGACAGATGAGGAAACTGAGGCAAATAGGGTTAAATGACTTGCGCAGGGCCACACGGCTGGTACTGTGACTTGTGGGCACTGTGGTGGTCTGGCGACTATACTAGTGTGAGCGAAGCTTCAACTCTAGGGTGATACTCTAAGTCTGGAGGATGCCAAAGGAAAAGGTGGGGCTCTCTGACACATCCCTGAGTGCTTTCTTCTGATGAGGGCAAGTCAAACTCAAGGTCCACTGAAAGTCTGGAGGGCTAGCTCTCTAGGTCCCTAGGAGGTAGCAGCTTACCAGAGGGGGAAGGACAGTTGTCTTGGTTCCTTATAGAATCAGGTTCATGTCCTTTGTAGGTTCTTGTTTTTGTTAGGTTAAATGAAGTTGGACCTGTGTTCAGTATGGGGCAGCTAGGTAGCACAGTGGAAAGAGCAATGGGCCTGGAGTCAGACCAGAAATCAAATTTGATCTCAGACACTTACTGGCTTTGTGACCCTGGGTAAGTCATTTAATCCCTGCCTCCATAAAACTGGACAAGGAAATGGTAAGATCTCCAGTGTCTTTGCCAAGAAACCCCCGAGAACAGTTGGTCCACAGGGTCACGAAGAGTTGGATGCAGGGTGTTCAGTGTATTGCTACATGAGTGGTCCTGTGAAGAAGCTTTCCACCTTTTTGTGGATACCTAGATGTAAACCACGTTCTGATGTTCCCGGGAGAAATCCTGCTGTGAAGGAGAAGCACAAAAAGAAACTGTAAAGTGATCTCAAGTTTCAGCTTCACCCGTGTACATTCACAGCTGCAGTTGTGGGCCGTCACAAGCTTTCTGCGTTTCTCTGTGTTCTTCATATTTGTGATTTTGAAGCGTAGCAATATTCCCTTGCACTAATACAACAATTCATTCAGCTGTTCTCAAATCGTTAGACTTATGGGCCTCTAGCCTTTGCCATTAAAGCCTTTAGGAGTGTTTTTGTAGGGTTTTGTTTCCCCTCCATAATGTTGTGTATATAGTCTTGGTAGTAGAAGCCTAGAGGAGGGGGTTTTCTGAGATTAGTCACTCCTTATTGTATGATGCTCCATTGTTCCAGAGTGCGCCGCTTCCCAGATCTAGCCCCACGGGGCTGTGACTGCTTCCTCACAGCCAAATTGATAATGAATTTTATCCTTGTTACCGCTCTTTGTCAATTTGGGTGTGAGATGGGACCTCAGAGTTGTTTTAATTTTCACTTCTCAATTATTGGAGTTTAAACAGTTTTTCAAGTAGTTATTGATAAGTTTAATAAACACCTGCTGGATCATATGTTTAGCCATGTATGTTGGGGAATAGATGTTACTGTAGTAAATTCATGGTAATTTCTGATGTATTTTATATATCAAAATTTTGTCAGATACATGTACTGTAAAGTTTTTTCGCAATTTTTCTATCAGATATGTTGCTTTTGTTATGTAAAAATGCTTTTATTTTTATATAATCAAGTCCATCTGTTTTCTATCCTATGATTTTTCGCGTTTATTCAGCAGATAAATTTTTTCTCTCCATTTGTCTCATTTTTTTCTGATCATTGGCATATTTGTAACTTACTGTAGTTTATGGTGATGGCATCTACTACTGCATTTCTCTATATCACCATCCAATTTTTACAGTAGTTTGATTGATTAACTATATTCCCTAATGTTTTGCAATCTTGGATTTAGCAAACATTAATCTGTTATATGCCTTTTTAACTATGGTTTTAACTGCTGCAAGATGTTTTGAGAATCACTGATTTACAATATGATTACAGATCCGTAAATGGGTATTGTATTTTATATGTTGATATAATTCTACTAGCTTTATGGGTTCATGTAATTTTTATACCCATTGTTTTCAAAATTTTCAGAGATCTTTATTTTCTTGGTATAGCTCCTGTGTGACAATTACACACATGCGTGCACGCACGCACATTTATGTCCAGTGAGACAGACCAGGATTTAAAAACCAAGCAGAGTAGTCTGTGTTTCATCTTTGGGACAGTAGGAAGCTGCTGTAAGGGGAGTGACATGATCAGTGGTTGCTTAAAGGAAATCACTTTGGCATTGCGGAGGGTAGAGCCAGAGGCCGGGAGACCAGGGAGACCAGGGAGGAGGCTGTCATCTGGGGCGCCAGCTGTGTGGTAGAGAGAAGGGATTGGATGTGAGGCGTGTCATGGAGGTAGAAATGGCGAGGGGGTGACTGAGCATGATTTGAGAGAGTGTGCTGAGGTGACGAAGCTGGAGGTAGAAAGGACAATGTGGTGCCTTTGATGGGAAGAGGAGGGAGTTTGGGGAGAACAACGAGGTCCGTTTGAGACGGCTCGAGTTTAAGATGTTTGAAACGTCCAGGTCAGGGTGGTCACTGGACAGTGGGGGATGCTGGGCTGAATTTCGGGGAAAGACCAGCCCGCTGCTGAAGCCCCAAGGAGCCACATGACTTAGCCAAGGTCACCCAGGGAGGAAGTCCTTTGCATCTGCATCAGCAGCAAGGATGAACAAGTAAGAAACCTAGATGAGACACTTACACGTGGCCAGGTCGCATCCCACGCGGTGCCACTTAGGCCTTCTGGTGATGTCATGGCGCTGCTCCCCCGGTCTCTGCTGGCTTCTGCCCCATTGGTGGGTCACTTTGTCAGCTGTTCCAGGCATGGCTTCTGGGCCCAGGCCCTGGAGCTTCTCTGCTTCTGGCTGCCATGTTCTCTCATTTACTTCAAGGCCAGAGTCTTCTCCCTGTAAAAGCTTCCCCTTCGTGCGCCAGGCTGCCTTGTCCCTTCTGAGACTTGGCACATCGCAGGGCCCCATGTCTTCAACAGGAGAGCTTCTGTTGGAGATGATGAGCCCTTCAGGACACAGTGCCAAGTAGTGGGCAGCTGTTTCTCTGAGGCCTCTGACTGTGAACTTCACTTCCTGCTGGGCTTGGGGCTCCAGAGGCCAGCTCGCTCTGTCTGCCTCATGCTGAGCCTTCTGGAGGCTCTCCTGGCTCTGAAAATGTCTTCTGGCTATTGCCTGTCTCCACAGCACTTTCATTCTCCTGTATTTCCCTCCTCGTCTACACAGTGAGCTGTCTCTTGTAACAAAGACAAAAAAACGCAGTGCAGCCAACCAAAGCGCCGTCTCGGTCAAGTTTGACTGTGTGTGCAGTGGGCCACGCTTTTAGTTCCCCACTTCTGGAAAAAGTTTGTATCTCTGAAGCTCAGGTCTCTCCTGGTCATCCCACGTGAGGGCTTTTTGCCCAGTGGCTGCCAGATGCGCTGTGGTCCTCTCAACTCTTTTATTCTCTTCTAGAGAAGTCTGGTGGGGAGGCCCCGAGACCAAGGGTCATAGGCCAGGCCTGACTCGGGCCAGTCTGATAGTTCAGGATTGAGGTTGAAATGAAATGAGACATTTGTAGACCATCTAATGGTTTCCAGAAAGAGTTTTCCTTAGCCATAGCATGGAAAGAACTCTCAGCAAGGCTACAGTACTGGTTCAAGTAGGTGTGTGCTCTCCGAGGGGCGGGTGGGACGTCATCAAGTCAGAGGAAGGCTGACTCCCCTCCCCCTCACGCCTGCCTCATTCACGACCTCAGGGCCTGGGAATCTGCATCAGGGCCTTGAACCTGAGCTTGCTCTGCTAGTCAGATCTAAGGAACAGCGTCCTCAGCCTTTTAGGGGCAAAAGCTAGCTGAGCCTCCATGGCCGGGATGCTGGCAGACATTGCTTCTGTCTCACAGAGGCAAGGTCGTGATCTGTGCTGCCTCCTTTGCTGCATGTCTGGCCTTTCAGATAGGGGGTGTCCCAGCCGTATGGCTCTTTGAGCTCAAGACTGCACTAAGACCCTTGGGACATGCTGACTGGACCTGCCTGGTCACAGCTAGTGAGCCTTTGAGCTCATCCTCAGAATTGCGTTTGTGCAAACTTTCATGAGTGGCATTTTTCCCCCACTGGTTTTGCTGCTGATTTTAAAAGGTAATGTGCTCTGCTGCTGTTTGCGTAGAAAAACCACTTAGTGAATTGTACGTTGCCATGTGTCTTTTAATAGATGAAAGTTGTTTCTGTCTTAGTGAGCTCAGCTCAGATGACGGATGGGGCCTTCTGAGGAGCCAGAGCCAGAGGTGAGGGTGCTTGTAAAGCAGGAGGCCCAGGGTCCCCCTGCTGCTCCATGGTCCAAGCCAGAAAGATCCTTCAGGAAGGCCCTGGAAAGACAGAACAGGCTCCTTGGAGCATCGTGGCCTTAGAGTGTCCTGGGAGGCAGGGACATCAGATACCGAATTGCTCTGTGACCCTGGGCAAGTGGGTTTCCTCTGAGCCTGTTTCCCCACCTGCAAAATGGGGCTAATAATAGCACCTTCCCCTTTCCTCCTGTTCCCTGTTGAGTGAAGTGTATTTCTGTAGCTGTGTGTTTTGTTTTCTCCTTTGACAGTGTAGATGAGTGAAATGTTGGGCGCTCCCCCAGGCCCCTTCTCCTTGTTTGTAGAGAAGCTTACTTGTGAACCCTGATTACGCAAGCTCATTTCCCTAACCTTTCCCCCTCTCTCTTCCTTCCTTTCCTTCCATTCTTCTCTTAAGACTCTAAAGATATAACCCAGTCACTCCCAGGGCCCCTCTGACTCTGAAGATGATGGGGTTCAGAGAAGACACGAGTAGTATCCCTTCATTTAGAACGGAAGCCATTTAGCCTTATTTTGTACTTTATCATGATTCGTTTGTGTTTACTTTTTTATGTTCCTCTTAACCCCGGTGTTTGAACTTTAGAGTTTTTACACAGCTCTGGTCTTTTTTTATCAGGAGTGCTTGGAAGCATTATACTCAGTTTCGTTACATGAGTGATACTTGGTTGTAACCCGAAATCCTTTGCCGTCTGGAATATCGTATTCCAAGCACTCCGCTGCTTTGTTAGTGTGGCTGCTAAATCATGTGTGATCCTGACTGTGACATTTCAGTATTGAATTCTTTCTTTCTGGCTGCTGCAGTATTTTTTTCTTTGACCTAGAAACTGGAGTTAGGCTATGATGTGCCTGGAAGTTTTCATTTTAGAGTTTTTCTGTCAGGACTTGACCAGTGGATTCTTTCTATTTTCACTTCACCCTCTGGCTCTAAAAGTCCTGGAAAGTTTTTTCATAAGATTTCTCAAAATAGGATGTCTAGACTTTTTTTTTTGTTATAGTATTCAGATAGTCCATTGATTATTAAACTTTTTTCTCCTTGATCTGTTTTCCAAGTCAATTGTTTTTACTTTGAGATACCTTAGGGTTTTTTCCTATGTTTTTTTTTCAGTCTTTTGACTTTGGTTTAATATTCTTATTGTCTCATGAAGTCATTGAGGTCTATTTGGTCCATTCTGATTTTCAGGGAGTTAGTTGCTTGGGCAGATTTTGTACCTCTTGTCTCAAGCTGTTTATTACCTTTTTTATTCTTTCTTCCATGGCTCTCATTGCTTTTCCAACTTTTTTCTCTAACACTCTGATTTCATTTATAAAAACTTTTTTTAAGATTTTGCTTTCAAGTTTTTGCTTAATCGTATCCAATTTTGCCCAACCTCTTTTTCTTTGAGGTTTTGCTTGTAGATATTTTGGAATCACTTTCTTCTGGGTTTGTGTCTTGAGCATCCCTGTCACCATAATAGCTCCTTATGGAGAGAGGAATTCTTTTTTTTTGTTTGCTCTTTCTTTCAGCCTACTTCCTGACTTCAGAATTGATATTAGGATCAGTCACTGTGCAGATCTTTTTTTGACATTATTTTCTATGTGTATTATATATTTTACATTTTATCATTTTTCCAATTATGTGTAAAAACAATTTCTAACATTCATTTTTTAAATTGAGTTCCAAATTCTCTTGGTGTCTGTCCTATCTCCTCCCTGAGATGGCAAACAGTATGATATAGGTTATACATGTGAAGTCATGCAAAACATATTTCCATATTAGTCATGTTGTGAAAGAAAACACAGCCCAACAAAACCCAAGAAAAATAAAGTTAAAAAAAGTATGCTTTGATTTGCTTTCACACTCCATCAGTTTTTTCTCTGCAGGTGGGCAGCTTTTTTTGTCACGAGTACTTCAGAACTGTCTTGGATGATTGTACTGCTGAGAATGGCTAAGTCATTCACAGTTGATCATCATTATAACGTTGCTATTACTGTGTACCATGTTCTCTTGGTTCTGCTCACTTCACTTTGCATCAAGTTCATTTGAATCTTTCCGGGTTTTTCTGAAAGCATCCCCTTCATCATTTTTTGTAGTGCAGTAGTATTCCATCACAGTCATATATGGTGACAGCTTGTTCAACCATTCCCCAGTTGATGGGCATCCCCTCGATTTCCAAGTTTTTTCCACCACAAAAAGCTGCCATAAATATTTTTGCACATATTGTGCATTTTCCTTTTTTTAAAAAATCTGTTTGGGTTACAATAGTGATAGTGCTGCCTCAAAGGATATGCACAGCTTTATAGTCCTTTGGGCATAGTCCCAAATTGCTCTCCAGAATGGTTGGATCAGTTCACAACTCCACCAACAGTGCATTAGTGTCCCAATTTTCCCAGATCCCCTCCAACATTTGTCATTTCCCTTTTCTGTCATATTAGCCAATCTGATAAGTGTGAGGTGGTACCTTGTTTTAATTTGCGTTTCTCTAACCAATAGTTATTTAGAGCATTTTTTCTTATGGCTATAGATAGCTTTGATTACTTCATCTGAAAACTGCCTGTTCATATCCTTTGGCCATTTATCGATTAAGGAATACTTGTATTTTTATAAATTTGACTCATTCCTCTATATAGTTAAGAAATGAGACTTTTATCAGTTGTCTGACTCCCTTACCTGCGGCCCGAAAGCTCTCAAAGCAGCTGCCAATGTACTGGCCTGTCACTGGCTTGCCCCAGACTATGCTCTACTCTCGCCCCTATGAGACAGATTTTTCCTGTCAATCTTCTAAGTTGTCTTGTGCTGGAAATCTTTTGTTGGCTCTGCTGCTCCAGGCAATTGGGGTTAAGTGACTTGCCCAGGGTCACACAGCTAGTAAGTGTCAAGTGTTTGGTCTGAGGCCAGATTTGAACTCAGGTCCTCCTGACTTCAAGGCCGCTGCTGTATCCACTGTGCCACCAAGCTGCCCCTTTGAGGTGTTATTTTTAAGCTGTTTGGAAGGGAATGTGGGAGAACTGAGGTGAGTCCGTGCCTTTGCCCCAGCCCACTCTGCACTGTGTGACCAAGGATTCAGGCTGCTTGTCTTGCTGCTTTCTCAGGTTGTTTTAGTAGAGGATTTCAGGGACAGCTCAGGTTGGGGAAGTGCCAGCTTTAGCTTACCCAGAGCAGTTGATCCAAAGCAGAGTCTAATTGCTGCCCCCTTCATCCAAACTGTAAGTTCTTGGGTCTGAGCAGCAATAGATGTTGGAGTCAGCCAGTTGGGAACCTCTGCTGGTTCACAGCGACAGACCTGTAGGCTCTCCTTTGGTCGGGGATTCCTGCCCTGGTTTTCCCTCTGCAGGCTTCAGACTGGGCTGGGGGCTAGATCTGAGACCTTATTCTGCTCTGGGGTCTGAGCCACGTAGCTCCTGCCTCTGGACTTGCTCTTCTTGGTACATGGACTGGAGCATTCTATTTTACCTTGGAATGCCTCCTCCCACCCGCCATGGGTCCAGGTCTTCTCCTCGGTTCACCCTGGATCTGTGGACAGATGATGGGTGACAAAGCGCCCCAGCATGGGTCTGGTACCTCCTTTTGAACCCTAGTGCTCCTGGTCCCAGTATTCATAGACCTCTCTGTCTCCCTATGTTGACCTGGGTTTAAAAAAAGGACTCACTGACTTTTTTCTTGGATTTCCCCATCAGGATTCAGTCTGGTATGTTTTCTAGATGTTTTTGAAGGGAGCAGGGGGAGGTCACTATACTTTTTCCTACTATTCCACCATCTTGGCTTCTTTTTGGAGGTATTTCCCAGATCTTGAACTGAGATGATCTTTGATCTAGGCCAGTGTTGAGGAGGAGAGACTTTGACCTCATCCAGAATACACCAGAGAATTTTCTATCACAACGTGCAAAGAACAGACAACACCAACAGTAGAACCCCGAGCTTCCCGTCTCCTCTTTTCGCTTTTATGGTTCATGTGGGGCTCTCTCAATCAGTCTTCAGGATTTTCTCCATCTCAGTTGTCTTGATTTTTCAGCCTGTATTCCAGAAAGATCTCTTGCGACTTGTCTTTCCCTGGGGGAAAGAATGTGATGGGCAGTATCAAAAAGCATTGAAGACAAAGAGCAGCCCTTATCTAAAATGGCTGTTTCTGGTCATCACACCCCAGAAGGATGTGTAACTGTGCTGTGCTGTCCTGTCTCGTTTACCCTTCCAGCCCCTCCCTGTAAATGAGTGGGCCTGACTGGATGCTTTTCTTTCTGCATTTTAAGGCAGGGAATCTGGGAACTAGCTGCCAGAGGAAGCTAGAGCAACCGCCATGTGAATTAGCGGTAGCTGGGGCTTGGGGCTGTCAGACCACAGCAGATGCAGCCTGGGAGACACGAACTGCCTTGAAACCAGGCATCCCTCTCAGTACAAGTAGCAGAGGCCATTGCCGCTTGGCCTTTGGAGCTAAGGACTTCTAGGGAAGACCATGCTGGCAGCCATCCCCACTGCCTCCGGAGAGAGCTTGGACCGAGAGGAGAGCAGCTAACGGGGATGAGACCGTGAAGGGGCGAGTCGGGCTCAGCTCCTGGGAGGATGCTTGGGGCCTTGTGAGAAAGGCAGGAGACCCTCCACCCCCAGGCCCTCCTGTGCACGCAGAGCACCCCCACAGCGGACCCCAGTCTCGCAGTCCATTCCCTCGTTTTTTTCCCACAACCTCCTAGGTCGGGGGAAGGTGAATACCCTGGAACTGTCAGCTGATGTCCAGAGAGAGAACATCAGGAGGAGCGCTTGGCAGGCTTCTTTGTAATCTTTTATGTTGATAAAAGCCACGTGGCGACAGGAAGGTGATTGCCTGGGTATGGAGGGGGCTTCTAGGGCTATAGATACGACTGTGTTTATGGTCATCCCAAGGAGTGTTGAATGTGAACCCTTAGCCTAGAATTCTGAGGGTTTCATGCTTTCCTAATCCTTTTGAAATTGTATAGCTTGGTGGGAACAGTGGTACGTGCATGAGCATAGAAAAAAATCTTATGGGGAGGGAAGGGCGGGTGACACAGAGAGAGAGAGGCACGCATGCACATGCACACGCGTGCACGCTGGTCGCTTGAGCATAGCACCACCTGGTGGGAAAATGACATATCACATACTAATTGTAGTGACTGTCTTCCTTGTAGGCTTAGCAGGGAGGATACACATCTCATCAATCGACAAGTATTGATTAGATGCTTACTGTGTGCCAGGCGCTTGACTAGTTATTGGGGTACACAGCCTCCACCACTCACAAATACAGTGGACGTGGCTTTATCACCTTGCTGTGTTTTCTCAAGGGCAAATCGCTGCTTTTCTTTGTGTAGCAATTTCCCCCTTTGTTAAACGAGGACCATGCAACTTGCCAAGAGCTGCCATTGTGGGTCAGACCCCATAGGTTCATTTAGCCATGAAAATCGTTGCCAACAGAGACTCCTTTGCTCCTTTGTTTTGTCTGGTTGGATTTTGTGTCGTCTGCCTGTTTTCCCTTGTGTGGTTTCAAGCTTTAATTTTCCAGCTTGCTGAGGAATATTATGTGTTTACAAGAGGGAGTTATTTCCTTATGGCAGTAATGAGGTTCCCTTGAAAGCAAAGGACTTAAGAACTCTTTGAACTCAGAAGTGGAAATGCATTTGCTCTTTCATGGGCGACATTTTCTCTTAAGCCCAACACCCTTCCTAACTTGTGTTGTTGGACTTTGTTGTGTTTCTGGTCAGTGAGCAAACAGGAAGCCCCTACTGTGTGCTAGGGGGATGCACAGGCAGAGATGAGCAGGCCCTGCCCTTGGGCTCTTTTAGGGGCAAGCATTCTGGCCCTGGCTGAGGTTGCTCGCTCCCTGCTATTTCAGACTTCTCTGTCAACCGCTTTGTTTCCCTACAGACCTCCTTGATTCTTTGCCGAAGGCCTTTTCACCCTGGGGAACAGGGTCACATAGAGAGCGCCAAGCTCCTGGTCTTCCTTAACCTGTCCTTCACTTACCTCAAGTTGGAACGACCCACTCGGGCCCTGGTCTATGGAGAGCAAGCCTTGGCTATCGATCCGAAGAATGCGAAGGCCCTCTTCAGGTGTGGACAGGTAAGTGTGGAGCTGGCCTTTTGTTGGGGGAAGAGATTCAGGAAGTGCTGGCCCTAATGCAGAAACCTTCTCAAGGGCCATGTTCTTCCAGTGGCCAGGTCTTCAGAACACGGCTTCTCCTCCCCTCAGAGCTCAAGCGGAAGCCCAGGGGCTTGGAGGTGGCCTTCTGATACTGTGACTCAGGCACCTCCACCGAGGGGCTTCTCCTGCCCGTGATATTGTCCATTCACATCGATTAGTCATCCAGATTTAGTTAGCTTCTATCAGGTAGTGTTTGCTGAGGGAGTAGAGTAAAAATAATTGACCCAAAACATCAATGAAAAGTCTGGGACATCCCTCCCACCAGTACAGACCCAGTCCAGGGAGAGTTGGTTCAAGCCTAGATTGGGTGGTGCCCATGGACAAAGGAGAGCTAATGGCTTCTGGCGCTTCTTTGGGAGACTGCTGCTGTGGCACCTTCTCCAGCTGAAGAGGCCTTTCCCCCATGCGTCTAATTTGTCCTTGGCTCCTAGTGCAGACTTAGCAGCATCTGCTGTTCCGGGGACAATGCTTGGGCTAGGACACCAGAATCCTCTGCTCCTCGCCTGGCCAGTGTGGTGTGGGAGACCAAGACTTAGCCCAAGCTGGCTCTCTTGCTCTCCCCCATCCCATGCTTGGCCTGGCTGGGTAGCTTCCTCCATTGAGGGAGCAGCTAAATGGTGTCAGTTCATTCCCAACTCACCCTCAGGCCCCAGAGGGTGTGACCAAGCCCAGTCAGTCCTCCAAACAGACTTTCTGGTGCAACCTAGTTGAAATGTCTTTGATAGACTGATTGATTGGGGGGAGGGGTCCAGACCTTGTTCACAACTTTTATTTATCATGTTCTCACCTAACAAAGATCTCAGTATATCTCTTATCTCTTTCTTTAAGTGAGGTTAGGTGATTTGATTAACTCAGTTGACCCCCTTCCATTACTAAAGTGGATTACTTCAAGAATTTTACTTCTCCCAGTTTGTTTTTCTTTTCCCAAATACGCAGTGCTGTAATTCTCACCATCTTTATGGCAGGCTTGTCTTCACATGACTGAATATGAGAGAGCCCGGGATTTCCTCGTCCGAGCCCAGAGAGAACAGCCTTTAAATCATGACATCAACAAGGAGCTGAAGAAGCTGGCCAGGCAAGTGCCCCTCCTTCTGACTTGTCACAGACCGGTGGATGTGTGGACATGTGGCCTCTGGGTCTTACTTGTCAGGAGGAAATGTTGGGAGGCTCGCTCCTGGAGTCCTCAGTGTGCCCAAGGATGGAGGTAAATGTGAGATTTCAGTCTCACTGTGCTTCAGGTTTGCAGCAGAATCCCTAAAATTGCTGAAAACTTGAGGACATTCTAGATATTTCCTTTCTGATGTTGAAAAATAACTGTCTCAGGCCAGGGATGCTGGGTGATGACTCTTTACACGAAAGTTTCCTTATTAACTAGTACAAGCCGCAATGTTCGAGGGCTGTGAAAGCCATGGAACCTGTAGGCTGGTGAAGAAAGGCACCTTCTCCACGTGGGGTCTGTGAACTTGAAGAAGATCTGTCTTGACAACGATGTCTCCGTAGTTGGTTTCCTTTGTAGCCATGTTAATTATTTTATGCATTTAAAAGAAGGTGTCCCTAGGCTCGCTCCTCAGTGACAGCCTTGGATCAGCCTCTTCTGGGCCCTTCAGGCTGCCCTGTTCAGAAGGAGAAGCTTCTTTTTAGCCCAGGTGTGCTGGCGGCCCCCTAGCTCAGTCCTGCCCAATGGTGGTTGGCCTGAGTGTTAGAGAAGGACAGAGCCCAGCAGGAACCATTCCTAAAGTTCCTGCCCTGTGCTCAGTGACAAAAAGGGCAGAGTCCTTGCTCTGGGAGCTTGTCTGTGTCATTGCCTACAAACAGGCCTTTTAGAAGCATTTTGTTCTCTCTTCCAAAAGCTGTTACAGACACTCCATGGATAAAGAGAAGGAAATGTGCCACCGAATATTTTCTCCTCTCCATTCCTCTGCTGTGCAACAGAACTGAAGGTAAGTTGAGAGCCAGAAGAGGGTGAAGGGCAGGAACCCCTCAAGCTGAGGGAGGGCTTGGCCTGGAGACTAAAGATAGATTAGGGGATGTGGCAGACCTGGGTGGGAGAAAGCAGGTCACTATTGAACATGCTGTTTGGAGCCAGGGGCCAGATGTAGAGGTGGGGGGCTCTCCTACAGTCTGAGACCCCAAGGATCCGGGCCTGGGCTTCTCCCTCTAAAGCCTTGGGGGGCATAGTGAGCGTTCACTTGTATATAGCAGCCCCTTTCTCTCAGCCCCACCCCCCTCTGGGAGACAGTGATGACAAGGGTCCCTGGCCCATTCTCCAGATGGAGAAACTGAAGCCCTGGGCATTTAAGGGATTTGACTGTTACACAGCAGTGAGTGGCTGCAGCTGGATTCCAAACAAGAGCTTGCTGCTTCACACCTAGGACTCTGTTGGTCTCTCCCACTGCACTGACCTCCAGTAAACTGTGGGTAACAGAAAAATGACTAATGCAGTTGAACCGAGAGCTCAGAGAGCCGCAGCTCCCTAGCTCTGGTTTGTATGAGGAGCTAAATCTTTTCACCTTCCTGTGCTCCAAGCAGGACCAGATTCATTTGACTCTTCTTGAATGGGAGTGATTTGCCTCTGAAACCTGAGCGTTGTCTTGGGGGAGGTTTCTCCAAGGGCTTTTCTGCTTGTCCCCCCAGCCCTTGGACACATGGGAAGTCTTTAATAAAAGCATTTCCGTCCCATTCCACGTCAGAGCTCCTGGAGAACTAAATCCAGCACAGTTCCCACCGTTAAGATTTCCCTGAGTGCACAGAGTAATAATACACTTGCTCAGTCAACTGTTACTTAATCCATGGAAAAAACCCACCTGCCTCAAACACCTGCTGTGCCACATAGATAAGTCTGTTCTCCTGAGGGAAATTAAACAAGAAAGCGGCTAACAACAGCTGCTGAATGAACCAGCAGTGATAAACCTTCACTTTGTGGAGGCCTCCAGCCTCCAGCCTCCAAGCACGGCAGAGAGGCCGGCTGTCAAAGGGCCCATTCATGATAGGGCCGTTCAAAGGGGCCTGGGAGCTGCCGCTCCCCGCCTGCTCAGGTGTGCCAGGTAGGGACCAGCAGCAAACGCCCCTGTCCTCATCCTCCCCCTCGCCCCCCTGACTCAAGGGACCCGAGAATGGAAAGATTTGCCAATATTTGAACTGGGAAACTGCTTGACACCTCCCCCCACCTCCTCCCTGTTTGGCTCTTCTCAGCATTGTTATACCCTGGTGGGGACAGCGTGTTTTCTGAGCGTTCTGAACCCCGTGATGTGTTCACCTTTTCTTACCCAGGAGCAAATTCGCTGTGCCTGAGTCCAGCCGGGAACTTGATTTTCCTGCAGGTACTAGGCCTCAAGGCTCCCAGCTCTAAAGCCTCTGACCTTCGGTGTGCAGTGGTTAGAGCGAAAGCATCAGGAGACCTGAGTTCAAATACAGCCTTGGATACTTACTAGATCCGTGACCCTGGGCAAGTCGCCTCAACTCTGCCTTCGTTTCCTCAACCATAAATGGAGATAATAACAGCATCTTCTTCCCGGGGTTGTTGTGAGGATCAAATGAGATAATCTTTTTAAAGTGCTTAGTCTAATGCTTGGCCCATAGTAGGTGCTTAATCAGTGCTTGTCCACACCTGTCCTCCACCCCATCCCCTGGCCCCAGTGTGAAAGATTCAGTTTGGGGGTAATCTAAAAAGGGCAGGGGATAGGTGGTCAGCATCCACAGGGGGCGACCTCGGCCACGCCTGCCTCTGACCTCTGCCTCAGCTGTATCTTGTGGAAGGTCTTGTTTGGCGACTCAGTCACCCTCCTCCCTTGTGCTCTTTTCTCTGCATCTGGGCTTTCTCCAGGAGCCAATGTAATGAGATTCTAGCTGGCCCGCCCTCACGTGGGGCTTGGGCTGCTCCTGCTTGGTGAGGAATGGGGGCCTGAGCTCTTGGGAAACCCCCGTGGTCATGCAGCTAACAGGCCTGCAACAGGAACCAGGACTTTGATTCTCACCTCCTGTTCTTGCCACAAGAGCCCCACTTCTCTGCTAAAAAGCCCATTTTAGTGCTTCTTACAGCCTGAGCCCTGTGTCATCAGAAGTACAAGTGTGATTCAGAAACTTGGCTGTAAGAAAACAGAAGGGTATACCTGCAGGGCACTTCCTCTCATCTGACAGCATTCTCTTATGGTCGATAGAGAGCAGATCAGTTTTAGGAAGGTTTGGAGGTTTTTCCCAGTAGCCTCATGGACAAGACAGGAAAGCGTGGGCTGGATGTTAGCCCAGTTAGGTGAGTTCATAGGTCGTTGGTCAGAAGTACCCAAGAATGTTGATGGAGGATGGCTTCCAGCTGGGCATCTATGGAGTAGGAGGCAGAAAATGCCTGGTCTGTAAAAGTAGGGCATTGGGCCCCATGCTGGGGGTCTGGGAGCCCTTTCGAGCATGAGATACCGCAGAGCAGGACTGTCACACTCAAACAGAGCTGCAGAGAGCTGCCGATTGGCCCAGAAAACTCCCTGCTGACGTTATCTGTGGTTGACTGTGTTTTTATTTTGTTCATCATTACTCAGTTATATCTGAAGCTGGCTCGGCCACACTGCAGGGTTGTGGGCCGCCTGCAGCCCCAGCCCTGGTCTGACGCCTCTGCTGACACATCCTTCGCAGAAAATTTCCTAAAGCCTGAACACGCTGCCAGCTCTCACTTGTGCTTCTGCAGCTTCGTCTAAGTCGGCGTCTTTGTACAAAAGGGGAAACTGAGGCGCAGGTTCTCCTGTCTGATGCTCTCAGACCTGTCCTTGATCCCCTTCATCATCACTTTCCTCTCATCCGGAGCCAAGGTGGGAGGGTCAGGCTCAGGGCTAGCTTTGCTCTTCGCAGCTAACCCCGTCTTTCCGTTTTCTTCTCTTAAAAAAAAAAAAAAAAGTTGTGTGTATATGATCTGAGTGATCTCTGAGGTCCCTTTCAGCTCGAAATCCTAACACCTGTAACCTGTGGCCTGGTCTGAACCTGAAAAGAAGTTTCTTCGGAGGTGGGTGAGTGCTCCCTGCGGAGCCCTTGCGGATAGGGCTGGGGGACGGGGGCAGGCACACTGCCTGTTTGGTGATCATGCTCACCAGAGCTCTGGAATGTGGAATAGTCACAGTCACTGGCTCGATTTCAAACTTGAGCTCTGACTGAGACCCTAAAGGTTTGAGATGCACGGTTTTCAAACGATGATTTTGTGAATTTTCCCTCTGGGGGTGCTGCTGGTTTATATCTTTCTGCTGGCATTTGTGTAGGGATTTTTCCCTCTCCTTCCTCGCACAGAAGAGAAGTTTAAACCTTGGAGAATCGGATTAAGTGATTAAACCACACTGCCTGAACTTCAGGGCGAGAATATCTTAATTTTTTAAAAACATCTCTTTCTGGGAAGAGTGGTGGCAGGCCCCCAGGAGCGCCATGGTGATGGGGAGCTCGGGCCGGCTCAGGTTGGCAGGTCGGATGGCTGGTTTGGCCCTGTCCCCTAAACCTAGCATAGGAGGAGCAGGAGAACGGCCAAGAGCAACAGGCAGGCCAGCGCGGCAGGAAGCTTCCTTGCATTTCTGTGCTGGGCAGTTCATCTCAGAGCAAGTCTTTGCCTCCAGTTCCAGGGTCTGAAGCGAGGCAAAGACCTGGCGTGAGTGACCTCAGGAGCTAGAAGAGACACGGAGCAGGGGCAAAGCATCCCCAGAGCACACTTGAGGACCCAGGCTTGGCCCAGCTCCGAACGTCGAACAAACAGGGACTTGTGCAAACTGCTGGCTCCTCCGCTGCCCTCCTCTCCGCCTCCCCTGAAAAGTACCATGTGTGCCTCCGCAGAGGCACCTCCTGCCAGACCTGCATTTTCTCGTAAGGCATGTCTAGTGTCATTTTCTGGGCGTCTGCTGCGTATAGGATCCTGAGCTTGGAGTGGCTGTGCAGTACCCTTCCTCCCTCTCTGCCTCAGAATCGAGAGATGCCAGTGAAATGGCCCTTTGTTGTGTGACTATATATAGCCCCACTTGGGTCAGTACGTTTGCGTTAACACCCCTCCCTTGGAAAACATTTCCCTGGTTCGGTGTCTTTGGCTCCCTTGTCTCTCACCACATCCTCTCTTGGCTGCTGCCACGGCCTCTGTTCCTGATTCACGCTCCAGCTTGCTTCCGGCCCCCAGGAAGCGCAGAGATGGGCTTCGTGACGTTTGTGCTCCTGGTGTGCGACTTACCAATGAGGGGAAGCCTGGCAGAGCTCCAGAACTCGACTGATTCTGGGACGACTTCCCCCCATCTTGGAAAAGAAGGGCCACAGCAGGGATCTCACTTTCAGATGCTCACTGGAACCGAGGAATTCTCGACTTGGCTCTTCAATGCTCTTGGCGTGGGACTCGGGAAAAGTCGCTTTAAAACCTTTTGGCCATCAGCCTCTTCACAAAATGAGGGCATCAAGTTCGATGGTCTCTTTGACCCCTTCCGGGACCACTGAACACCATTTAGCTTTGTAGTTATCTTGGTCTGTGTCAGGGACAAAGCCTTTCTCTCAGGAAGCTTAGAGCTTAGTTATTTGTTCTACATTTTTTAAAGAAAATAGTCAAGTGCTTTCTGCACTGCCCCAACAGGCTTTGTACTCAGGGGTTTTTTTTGTATTTTTTCTTTTTTTTTTTTAGTTTTCGACATTCACTTCCATGAGATTTTAAGTTCTAAATTTTCTCCCTCTTCCCACGACTGTGTGCAATCTCATATAGGCTCTACGTATAAGTGATATTAAACATATTTTCATATTAGTCAATGTCATAAGAATTAGAACCAATGGGAGAAACCATGAGAAAGAAGAAATAAAACAGCAACACAAAAGAGAGCAAATAGTATGCTTCGATCTGCATTCAAACTCCATAGTTCTTTCTTTGGATGTGGGTAGCATTTTCCATCATGAGGCCTTTGGAGATGTCGTAGGTCCTTGCATTGCTGAGAAG